CCCAAGTCCCCAGATATCCTGAAAGCGAGTGTAAAGGCCAGTGCTTCTGTCCTCCAGGTAACAGGACCCAGACCTCTGAGCTGCTGGCAGCCGAGCAGGGCTCTGAGCCTTGCAGGGAGAGCTCTAGGGTCAGCCCCATCTTCTCCGCCCACTCCCCTGCTCTGGTCATCCTAGCACACGCACCTGCCAGATACCTGCATTGGACTCCTTTGGTTCCTGCCTGGGCACCACTGCTCAGCCTCTCACACAAGCCTGGAAGAACTAGGAATGATGCCCCCCCATTCCCCCACACACTCCCCCCACCCACAAGCACCCTGTAACTCCTAGGGTAGGGCAGTAGATGGAGGACTACCCTCTAGTGATGTCTGAGCTGTCTCCAGCAGGATGGAGCCCTTCACTTTCCCCTGCCCTACAAACCCTAGAAATTACTGCACCCTCCCCCCTCCCCCCTAGAATGGCTTCTCTAATTAAACCACCTGGCAGCCTCTGGCTCTGCTCTGCTTCCAGGGCCCTCCTGGTGCCTGGTCCCAGGGGGACTCATGATCTTCTCTCCTCCCTCCACCTCCTGCCCATGGGACAACAGAGTTCTGCTCTGGCCTATTGTTTGCAGCATTCAGGAGCCACCATGTCCCCTGGGGGGGCGGGGCAAACCACTCTTGTTTATCCAATAACAATTACTTCTCAGCAATCATCCCAGTCCTGAACCAGGCAAACAAAATGGGAGACCTTCAACAAAGTCTACCCCATAGATCTTCAACAAAGTCTACCCCATAGACCTTCAACAAAGACTACCCCGTAGACCTTCAACAAAGTCTATGCCGTAGACCTTCAATAAACTCTAACCCAAAGACCTTCAACAAAGTCTACTCCATAGACTCTCAACAAAGACTACCCCATAGACCTTCAACAAAGTATACCCCATAGACCTTCAACAAAGACTACCACATAGACCTTCAACAAAGACTACCCATAGACCTTCAACAAAGTCTACCCCATAGACCTTCAACAAAGACTACCCCATAGACCTTCAGCAAAGTCTACCCCATAGACTTTCAACAAAATCTACCCATAGACCTTTAGCAAAGTCTACCCCATAGACCTTCAGTAAAGACTACCCTATAGATCTTCAATAAAGTCTACCTCATAGACTGTCAGTAAAGACTACCCCTATAGACCATCAATAGTCTACCCATAGACCTTCAGTAAAGACTACACATAGACCTTCAAAAAATCTACCCATAGACCTTCAATAAAGTCTACCCCATAGACCATCAATAAAGTCTACTCATAGACCTTAAAGACTACCCCATAGACCTTCAACAAAGTCTACCCCATAGGGCCTAGGCTAGGATGGTGTGGCCCACACCCACAGTTCTGGTTTTCCTCAAGGATATGTGTGAAGGACAAGTCACCCAGGCATTTTAAAGTCAGATTTACGCTTTTGGTGATGGAATTGAAACAGGTTGTCCAGGTCCTGACCAGGCACAACGGACTGCCAAAAAACATCACCCCACAAGCCCACACTTCTCTTGACCTGTTGGTAGTGGGGATAGAACTCGGGGCCTCACTCATGCCACATGTTAGGTGAGTGTGTAGCACAGGCTACCCCCAGCCCTCGAGGGCAGTTATGTTATAGAGATAGCATCTCATGTTGTCCATGCCGGCCTCCAACTTGATTTGTAGCTGAGGACAATATTGAGCTTCTGATCCTCTGCCTCAGGAGTGCTGCGATTACAGGCGTGTGCCACCCTCTCTGGTTTATGCAATGTTGGGATTCAAACATAGAGCCTCATACATTCTGAGCAAGCACTCTGCCTACTTAGTTTAATGAATTATATTCCCAGACCCGAGAGCAGTTAGTTTTAAATATCCTTCGACCTGAATGTTGGCAGTACCAGGGGAGAAGGCCAGATGATTGCCTCAGGGGCAGCCAGCATCCTTATACAGTACCATCTCAACTGGGTGGTGGTGGCACATGCCTTTAATCCCAGCACTTGGGAGGCAGAGGCAGGCAGATCTCTGTGAGTTCAAGGCCAGCCAGAGCTGTTACACAGAGAAACCCTGTCTCGAGAAACAAACAACAAACAAAAAAAGTACCATCTCTTTTAGGGAGTCATCCATTCATTCTGCTTAAGTATCGATTATGCTAGTGCCAGGACTCTGGGAGGCATTGTGAATCACACTGGTGAGTTCCTGCATGGGTGGGCTGGGGTGGTGAGCAGCTCCTCTGAGTTTAAGTGTTCACTCCATGTATCTAGCTGCCAGGGAGGTCTCACCTGATCTACGCATGTCTTCCAGCATCCACAGGAAAGAGCACACCCCTGACTGGGAATGCAGAGCGGCTGGGGGCTATGCTGCAGACTTTCCTGTTGCCAGACATTGGCTGGGTGGCTCTAAGCACCTCCAATGTGTCACCTTCAGGCCCAATCAGATCCTCTCTTCCCAACCTGACAGGCTCCTGTCCAATTGTAATCAGCAACTGTGAACTGTGTCTACCTGAGCGGCTGCCTTGTTGGTAGATGTGGTACCCAGCAAAACCGGCAGTAGGCAGAGGATGAGGCCAGGTCTTCTGCTCTTCATGCCCCCCTGACTCTTAGAACATGCCAGTAAACAGGTTCCCATAGCAGGGAGGATTAGGGAAGGACACTGAGTGGGCAGCAAAGCTGAGGTCAGGAGTGTCTCTGAGGGGAGCCCTCTCACGCCTCACTTCAACATTCAGGTTGAAGGACATTTAAAACTAACCGCTCTCGGGTCTGGGGATAAAGTTCACTGAACTAAGTGGGCAGAATGCTTGCTCAGCATGTATGAAGCTCTAGGTTCGAATCCCAACAGGCAGGAGAGATGGCTCAATGGTTAAGAGCACCGGCTGCTCTTGCAGAGGACCCAGGTTTGGTTCCCAGCACCCACATGATGACTCACATCTGTCCTTAACTCCAGTCCCAGGGGATCTGATGCCCTCTTCTGGTTTCTTTGAGCACTGGGCATGCACACAGTGTACATACATACACACGGGCAGAATACTCATACAAAGAAAATAAAAGAAAAGGCGTAGAGGGGATGTAGGTCTGGAACACAGGTAGTAGTGGAAGCCCTGTTAAGGAACCTCAGGGCAGGACTTGTAGAGATGTAATGGAGTGAGTGTCCCTGTGTCAAAATAAACCCTGCCAGGTGCAGGGGTGCATTCCTTTAATCCCAGCACCTGGGAGGCAGAGCCAGGAGAATGTCCGAGTTCAAGGCCAGCCTGATCTACAAATAAGAGTTCCAGGACAGCCAGGGCTACACAGAGAAACTCTAGCAAAATAAACAAAACAAAAACTAATGTATTTATGGGCATTTAAAGTTTTTTTTAATTTTAAAATTTTCATATGCATGAATTTTTTTTTTTTGGCATGCATTTATGTATGTGCTCTGTGTGTGTGCCATGGTGTCCAGAAGAGGGCGCCAGATTCCATGGAACTAGAGTCACTGAAGGTTGTGAGACACCAGGTAGATGCTGGGGACTGAACCCCAGTCCTCTGCAAGAACAGTAAGTGCACTTAACCACCAAGACACCTCTCTAGCTCCTAGCTTTTTTTAAAATTATTTTATTTTTATTTTATGTGTATGAGTCTTTCGCTTGCTTGTGTGTTTGTATATTTCTTGAGTGCCTGGTGCCATCAGAGGCCAGGAGAGGGCGCCAGATCCCCCAGAATGGAAGTTAAACAGATTGTTGCGAACCACGCAAACCACTCAATGCGGGCGCTGGAAACCAAACCTGGATCCTCTGCAGGAACAGCAAGCGCTCTTAACTACTGTAGTTATGGGACTGAACCAAGGACCTTGTTCAAGGACATACTAGGCATGTCCACAGAGGGGTATCCCCAGCAGTTCAGCAGTTCAGGCACACCCTGAATCTTTATGTTTTCCTTTTATGAGACAAGGAAGGTCTCACATAGCATAAGCTGACTTCAGGCTTGATATGCAGCTAAGAGTGACCTTGAACTGCTGATCGTGCTGGGATTCTGGGCATTTATTACTTTTGCAGCGTTGGGGATTCAATCTGTGGACTGAATCCCAGGCCTTGTTCGTGTTAGCCAGGCACTCTATCAGCTGACTCCGCCCTGCAGCATTTTTTTTTCTTTCTCCCTTCCTCTCTCCCTTTTCTTCCCCTCCTCCTCTTCCTCAACACATTCCTTTGTTAAAGGTAAAAAAAAAAAAAAATGTCCTTTACCATCAAGAAACAAGTTAAATTTCTGGACCCCAAACAACTTAAAACAGTAGGGGTGACGCTTCATTCAGACAACCTTCCTTCTATATTCGAAGTTATCGCGCCCTGCCTTTCTAATCAAAGCCCTGGGGAGTGTGGGCTGAGGCAGGATGAAGTGAGGTCTCCAGACGAGATGAGGGACACCCATACATACAGCAGCAATGGCAGATCATGGACCTATTCCCTGGGTGCTGGGAATGTATGCCTCAAGTTCTAAACAGGCACCCACCCAAACATGACAAGGCACTCCTAGCCAGCACCTACCCCCCCCCCAACCTGATCCCTTAATGCTGCTGAGGGCTGTCCTCTGTCCCCTCAGCACATTTCCTTCCAAAACAAGGACTTTCTCTCCTAATAAGGCGTTGTGGCAAATTCAAGGAAAATAATTGATACTACGGTTTAGAAGACTGATCGATTCAAAAGGAGCATTTGCTCTTAAAGGAAGAATTCAAACACATCTCAGAGTGGTAGGAGGTGCACTGGAGACCTTCGTGAAGCAAGGCCACTTCCAGCTCCACGTGCCAGGTACCAACCGAAGCTACTCCAGTCCGCTGTTGTCACCAGGTTAGGCTGCCTATCTCCTCCTCCCTGAGAGATCAAGCCCCACGCTTGATGTCTGGGCTGCCAGGGTGGGCGGGGACACCGAGACGGGGCGCGCCCACTCGGGGAGCGGCCCCCAAACCTCAGCCCAGGCCTCTCTTGGCCCCGGAAGGAAGCCAGGGTTGAAGAAGGGGGTGCCCCGAGCACGCCTCACCTGCAGGGAGTGCACATCCCGGGCTTTGATCCTCCGTAACACAGGCCTGCCGGAGGCAAGGTGTGGATTCGCCTCGTTCCTTCCTTTCCGCCACCCACCCGGTGTTTCCACGCAGCTGTCGCCGGGCGCTGGGACGTGGGGGGACACTGGGGACAGCGAGGGGGCCCCTCCACCCCGCGCCTTGGAGGCGGCGACAAGGCGGGGAGGGGCCGCCCGCCTCCCGGGGCCTGCGGCGCGCGTGGATCAGTGTGCAGAGCGCGGCGCACGGACTCGGCTGGCTCGCCCTGCGTGCGGGAAGAGGATGCTGGCCGGCTGCCCCGGCCTGGGCCCGCCATCCGCAGCGTGCGCCCGCCGATGCTGAACCGCAGCCCCGCGCCTCTCCCGGCCCGACCCGGGGCCTGACGGCCAGGGGAGCCGCGCTCCGGCTCCGGGCGGACGAACTGGCGCGGCGGCGCGGCGGGGAGCAGCCTGCGGCTCGCTGAAGCCCGCCTGGCCCGGCCCCGCAGCCCCGGCCCCCGGAGCGCGCGGCTCCCGAGTTCTCGTACAGGTCAGCGCCCAGCCGGGATCCAGGGCTGGGCTTCCGCGAGGCTGCGGAGCCCGCGGTTGGGAAAGGGGCTGGAGGGAGTCTCCCAGGGTTGGGTGGGGGGAAGGAAGTAAACAGAAGGAAGATGCGGGAATCCCCAGGACCGCCCCTGCTCCTTGCAGGCACGTTTTATTTTTCAGCTTTGCGGGGATTGGGCCTGGAGGGACTTTAGGTGAGGAAGTCAGGGATAGAGCCGGGCAGGCGAGGGATGGAGAGGTGGCTAGGCCCCTCCAGAAGCCAGTGGCAGGAAACCGGGTGTCTGGTGTGGACCGGACTGAGTGTGTGTGGGCGTGCTTGGGAGACTGGGGTTGGAGGCTTATGTAGCCAGGGAGCTGTGTGAGGGGTGGGGTGGGTGGCGAGGAAAGAGGCGCTTCTACTTAGCCATGTCCATTTAAGTTGCAGATGATTGGTGCCACCTGTGTCCCGACAACCTCCTTAGCATTCCTGCCCCAGGTGATCTCCCTTCATCCACAACCAAGAAGAGCCTCCCCGCCTTCCCCGGTTAGGAAGCCCTGGTGAACAGCCTGACCCCGGACTCCTCCCTCGTTCCTTCGAAGCCGCCGCCGCCACCAGCCAAGATGCCGAGGAACCAGGGCTTCTCGGATCCCGAGTACTCGGCAGAGTACTCAGCCGAGTACTCGGTCAGCCTGCCCTCTGACCCCGACCGTGGGGTCGGCCGGACCCATGAAATTTCAGTGCGGAACTCGGGGTCCTGCCTGTGCCTGCCTCGCTTCATGCGGCTGACCTTCGTGCCTGAGTCCCTGGAGAACCTCTACCAGACCTACTTCAAAAGGCAGCGCCACGAGACCCTGCTGGTGCTGGTGGTCTTTGCGGCTCTCTTTGACTGCTACGTGGTGGTGATGTGCGCGGTGGTCTTCTCCAGCGACAAGCTGGCGCCCCTCATGGTGGCTGGCATTGGGCTGGTGTTGGACATCATCCTCTTCGTGCTCTGCAAAAAGGGGCTGCTCCCGGACCGAGTGAGCCGCAGAGTGGTACCCTACCTGCTGTGGCTGCTCATCACAGCCCAGATCTTCTCCTACCTGGGCCTGAACTTTGCGCGCGCCCACGCAGCCAGCGACACGGTGGGTTGGCAGGCCTTCTTCGTCTTCTCCTTCTTCATTACGCTGCCCCTCAGCCTCAGTCCTATCGTCATCATCTCCGTGGTCTCCTGCGTGGTGCACACGCTCGTCTTGGGGGTCACGGTGGCCCAGCAGCAGCAGGAGGAGCTGCAAGGGATACAGCTGCTGAGGGAGGTGAGTGCCACGCTCCTCCCCGTCCATCCTGGGCCTTCCTTCCCCTTCCACCCGGGTCTCACCCAGGTGGGATTGCCTTCAACACCCCCGGGATGGACACGGACGGACACACACACACACACACACACACACACACACACACACACACACACCCACCCCCGTGCCGTCTGATGCAGAACGTTGGGCCTCAGGGCTACTCAGCCACCTGCGCTGAGTGGAGTAGGTGACGGTCCCTTGGAGTCTTGGTGTGGAGAAAGGCTTGGACTGCCGTTCCGTCAGTGACCCTGGTCACTTCTTGTGGCGAATCCTGATCTCTAGCTGTCTTGGCTTAACTCCAGATGGGATTTGACTTGGGCGAGCTCAGTGCTCTCTGTCAAGTGGGGATACACAGAAATGGCTGTTACCGAGATCCAGGGGAACGTGGGTGCAAGCCTGTTGTTGGGTTCTGTGAAGAGCTGTAAGGAGCGGAGACGTGATTATCGGAGATCTTGCTGCTTTCCCAGAGCTCAGAGTGTCCCCAGCAGATAGGTGGTGTAAGGAAGGGTGGTCTCCCCACAGAAGTCAGGGTGTGGGGACACAGCTGGGGACAGTTGTCTTAGCCACTGTGGTGTGGGGCATGCTGGTCCTAGTATGCTATTTCTGCTGGAAGGGATGGAACGTTTGGCTTCATCTTTGACTAATTTGTGCCCCCACCAAGTGCTGAGAGAGACAGACATCCAAAGCCTGCAGAAGATGGGCTGTGACTCTGGCCTGAGTTTATCTGGTCATCCCCTGAAGGGCTCCCCAGAGATGTGAGTCACTGAATTCCATCTTCTGGCATTGCCTTCCATATTTTGACCTGAGAGCTGGGAAGTGACCAGGTATTGTCTACCCGCTTCCAGAGTTCTTTTCCCCACACCTCACCGTTTTAGTCTTACCAAAGCCTTGGCATTGTCTGCTTGGGGTTGGGGGCATTGACTACAGTGACCCCAATGGGACATCTGGTGGTCGATGAGAGAACTTTTGGGGGGCTGTTCCATCGTCTCCCATCTGATGAGAGGAAGACATGGCTTCTGCTGGGTCTTAACTTTTTTTTTTTTTTTTTTTTTTTGGAGATAGGGTTTCACTGTGTCACAGCTTTAGCTGGAACTTGCTCAGTAGACCAGGCTGGTCTCAGATTCAGAGATCCACCTACCTCTGCTTCCTGAGTGCTGGGATTAAAGGCATGTGCCACCACTGCCCAGTGGGTTTTAACTTTTTTTTTAGGTCTTGGTCCAGTGTTCTTTCTGTTTTCCCATTCTAGGTCAGGTAGGAACCTATTTCACAAATCTTTATTTATTTATTTATTTATTTATTTATTTATTTATTTTGAGGCGGGGTCTCATGTAGCCCCAAATGACTTTGTTGCAGCTGAGGATGACTTTGAACACCTGGCCCTCCTTGCCTCTAACTGCCAAGTGTTAGGATTACAGATGTGGGCTCCCATGCTCAGCTAATTTCACGGAAGTTTTCTCCACGGCTCAGCTCTGGGCTAGAGCCTGTGGGGATTTGTGGGCACACCACCATGTTTTTGTTTGTTTGTTTGCTGCCTGGTATTGGGTGTTTTCTTGTGAACACCTGTCATTACTGTTGTGGCTTTCTGGGTTGGTGGCTTCAGCTTGTGTCCCTGCTTGTGGACAGTTCTGTTGGGGGAGGATACCCACAGTCATTACTACCGGGGATTGGTCAGGACAGGTTGGTCTGGCAGCCTCTGGGGCTTGGAGACATATTCTGAACCATCACCTTCCAATAAATAAGCGTTTCTTCCTTTGTCCTCTTGCCAGGGTCCCTGGGCCTTGGGTATATCACCCCAGTGTGTTGTTCATTGAGGCAACATGTCAGAAGAGCACAGAGCACCCCCACTTCTGACCACACCTAGACCCGCTTGTTGGCCGGAGACATTTGGGGTACAGAAAGTGTCTTCTAGTGAAATTGAGCAGTCCAACCCTAAACCTAGGGATGGACACACAGGGGCCGTGCCATTGACAGAGATTCTAGGTTTTAGCAGGGAGCAGACTTGACTGATTGTAGATACTGTGTCCCCAAGGGGCCAGCAAATCACTGACCAGATCATAAGGGGGAGCTGTTTCCCAGGGTGTGGTCTAGGAAGACTGTCCTGTGGGTCCTGCATCAGCTCTGTGTGGTAGAGGATGGGGCTGGTGATCAGCCTAAGGAGATGACCGGCTGGGGGCCAGGAGAGAGAGGGTGTACCTGAAATTCAGACAGAAGCCGCTGCTAGCCTGTGGAAACTGGCCAGCACTGAGCCGTGCCTAGATACTCCACTCTTCTGCCAAATTCTCGACTTAGGCCTTCTGATTTGTTGTAGAAATGGTCAGAGGTGTTAGCACAGGTGAGAGCCTGGGAGAGCATCTAGTCCAGAGCCCCCGGGTCATAGGGAAGGAATCACAGATAAGCAGCTGCTGCTCACTGGCAGCAGAAATGAGGGGCGAGCCCAGGGGTGCTGACTCCTGGGCCAGGGCTCCCACGTGGCGGTGGGAATTTGTCCCCTTAGCCCGAGAGCAGGATCCTGGCTTCTCTTGTCTACAGACGACAAGTACTCTACCTGTTTGTCACCCAAATCTCTGTAGAAGGTACAGCTTGTAGAGACCCTGAGTCTCTGTTCATCAAGTAGATGGAAACATCGTCATCTCAGTTTTGAACCTGGACTTAGCTATTCTGAGGCCCCTTGCTCGGAGCCTTGTGTCGGTACTTCAGGCCCATGTCACTCTGGGCCTCGCCTTCTCCAGTCAGCAAGAAACTTAACTTGGAGGCTCCCGGAAAAGGAGGCCTGTGGATCTGGATCCAGACAAAGTGTAGTCACAGGGCGGGTCCAGGGTCACAGCTGTAGCCTGGGTCCCTGCAGATGAGTTTTGAACTCAGGATTACTGGTCTTAAAAGAGACCAGGGCCGGGCGGTGGTGGCGCACGCCTTTAATCCCAGCACTCGGGAGGCAGAGCCAGGTGGATCTCTGTGAGTTCGAGGCCAGCCTGGACTACCAAGTGAGTTCCAGGAAAGGCGCAAAGCTACACAGAGAAACCCTGTCTCGAAAAACCAAAAAAAAAAAAAAAAAAAAAGAGACCAGGGCTGCAAAGAGTGAGCCCCTGTTGGGATCAGGGGGAAAAGGTAAAATTAGTAACTCAAGAGTAAAGATATTCAAGGCTGGGACCATAGCTCAGTGGTGGAGTGCTTGCCCAGCACGCTCGAGGCTCTCCGAATTGGAGCTCCAGTGCCCCCGTCCCAATAATATACAAATACATATTTATAAAATAAAAAATGTATAATAAGAATTTCGCATCCCAGGGGAACCTGATCTTGACATGAAACCATTCCTGGAACTTGGCTTTGGGGATAGAAGGGAGAAAAAGGGGCCCTCCCAAGGTTAAATTAGGAGCCTGAGATAAGTTGGAGGCCCAGCTTACAGTATGTGTTCCAGAAGTTTCTGAGTCACTTCTTTGGGACTAATGTGGCTTTCTTTTTTTTATTTTTAATGATTTGCTTATTTTTATTTTATGTGCATTGGTGTTTTGCCTGCATGTATGTCTGTGGGAGGGTGTCGGAGCCCCTGGAACTGGAGTTTTCAGACAGTTGCGCGCTGCCATGTGGGTGCTGGGAATTGAACTCAGGACCTCTGGAAGAGCAGCCAGTGCTCTTAACCACTGAGCCATCTCTTCAGTCCCACGGTGCGACTTTTC